TGGTGATGGTGGTGGTGGTGGTGGCGGTGGTGGTGGTGGTGTAGAGGTGGTTGGTGATGGTGGTGGTGGTAGTTGTGGTTGTGGTGTGTTGTGGTGGTTGTGGTGGTGGCGGTGGTGGGGAGGTGGTTTGTCGTGGTGGTTGTGGTGGTGCAAGTGGTTATGGTGGTGGCGGGTTGTGGTGGTGGTGGTGGTGGCGGTGGAGCTGGTGCTGGTCGTGGTGGTGTCGGTGCTGGTGCTGGTGGTGGTGGTGGTTATGGTGTGGCTGTTTGTGGTGGTTGTGGTGGTGGTGGGTTGCGCTGCTAGTCGTGGTGGTGGTGGTGGTTGTGGCGGTGGTGGTGGTTGTATGGTAGATTGTGGTGGTGGTGCTGGTGGTAGTGGTTGTGGGTTGTTCTGGTTTTGGCTGTAGTGGTGGTGATGGTGTTCGCGGTGGTGAGTTGTTGTGGTGGTGGTGGTGGCTGTTGTGGTGCTTGTGGTTGTGTGGTGATTGTGTGGTGGTTTGGTTTGTGTGGTGTTGGGTTGAGATGATGGTGGTGGTGGTGGTCATGGCAGTGGTGGTGGTGGTGTCGGCGTGGTGGTTTGTGGTGGTGGTGGTGGGCTGTGGTGTTGGTGGTGGCGGTTGTGATGCTGGTGGTAGTGGTGGTGGTGATGTTGGTGGGTGGTGGGTGTGGTGGTGGTGGTGGTGGTGGGTGTGGTGGTGGTGGTTTGTGGTGGTGGTGGGTTGTGGTGGTGACGGTGGTGGTGGTGATGGTGCTGGTGATGGTGGTGGTGGTGGTGGTGGTGGTGGTGTGGTGGGTTGTTGTGGTGGTTGTGATAGTTTATGGTGGGTTGTAGTGGTGCTTGTGGTGGTGGCGTTTGTGGTGGTGGTGGTGGTGGTGGTGGTGTAGTGGTTTGTGGTGATGGTGGTGGTTGTGGTGGTGGTGGGTTGTGGTGGTTGTGATGGTTGTGGTGGCGGCGGTGGTGGTGATGGTGTGGTGGTTGTTGGTGGTGGTGGTGATGTGGTCTTCGGGTCTTCTCGCCACCGTGATTTGTCTTTGGGGCAGAGTTCTGATGGATGCTTCTTGTGATCTCGTCAGATGGGTCGCGGGGGCGTCTGAGGAACATTTGTGAAGCCTCGCGGGCCTTCCTAAGGGCGTCTCGGTGGCTTCTGGGGGGCGAAAGCTCGATATGGCGATTTGTGTTTCCCCATCTGCGGCCTCTGGGCCCTCTCTGGTCATCGTCGCTGCGTCCCCGCCGTCGGCGCTGCTGGCCGCCGCCAGCGCCGGCGCCAGTGCCGGCGCTGGGGAGGGGGTTGGAACTTTCCCCTCCCCCCTTCCCCCTGGGCCCTCTCTGGTCATCGTCGCTGCGTCCCGCCGTCTTTGGCGCTGCTGGCCGCCGCCAGCGCCGGCGCCAGCGCTAGGGGGAGGGGGATTGGACCTCCCCTGGGAAGGGGGGGGAGGTTTCCTGAGGGGGCGGTTCAGGGGGGAGGGGGGCCCCTTTGGTTCTGATCGACGGCGCCGAGTGTTGAGGGGGGGGTGGCCCACCCGGCTCGAAACGCGCCGCCGAATGTTCCCAAGGCGAGCGCCCGCGAAACGCGCTCTCTCTTCGATTTCGGCCTTCGGGGTCCTTTGAATCACACGTGGACCCGGGACGAAGAACAGCACCAGGGCAAGCGGTAGGGATCTCTGGGGCCGCGGATCGAAGACACCAGGTCGGCGGATGTCGAAGTCCAGGGGCCCCAGGGAGGAACGAGGTAGTAGGAGTGGGAACGGGGGGAGCGAGGGAGGAAGGAATGAGATAGCGGGGCGGGGCGGAGGGAGGGGGGGCACGGCAGGGGCGGGGGCGACCTCCAGAGCCGTCAGGGAAGAATGGGGGCGGAGGTGGTGGGGTGTGGTGGGGTGGAGGAGGGACTGGGGGAGGGTGGGGAGGGAGGAGGAATGGAGAGGCAGGATCGAGGATGGAGGGTGCGAGGAAGAAGAGTGGTGGGAATGGGGGGAGGGGGTTGGCGAGGATGAGGAGCAGGAGGAGGAGGAGATGGAGGAGGAGGAAGAGGAGTAGGATGCTGATGCTGATGATGATGCTGATGTGGATGATGCTGCTCATGATGATGATGATGATGATGATGATGATGATGATGATGATGGTGATGCTGATGATGCTGATGATTGTGATGATGATGATGCTGGTGATGATGCTGATGCTGCTGATGATGATGTTAACTTGGGTAATAGTAATAATATTGATGAAGCTGCTGATGTTGTTGATGCTGATGATGCTGCGGATGCTGCTGATGATGATGATGATGATGATGATGATGATGATGATGATGATTTTGATGATGATGCTGCCTATGGTGATGCTGAGAGAATGAGGAGAGAGAGAGAGAGAGATGGAGGAGGGCGACGGCTGAAGAGGGCGGTTGGCGAGGGGGTGATGCGGCCTCTGACGATGTTGATGCTTGTGACGGCGATGAGGATGATGATGGTGATGCTGCTGGTGCTGCTGCTGATGGTGATGTGGATAATGGTGGCGATGCCGATGATGCTTCTGCTGCTGGTGCTGCTGCTGCTCATGTTGATGTTATAGATGATGAGGATGCCGATGCCGATGTGACTGCTGCTGCTGCTGATGATGATGATGTATCTGCTGCTGGTGCTGGTGTGGGTGATGACGACAGCGCCGACGTTGATGAGTAGGACGCGAATTGTCATGATGATGATGATGATGATGATGATGATGATGATGATGATGATGATGAGGTTGTAGGTGACGACGATGATGCGGCTGATTGTGATGTGGATGATGTTCACGTGGTTGCTGACAGAGATGATGATGATGATGTTGCCGCTGATGATGATGCTGATGGTGATGAGCATGATGACTGTAGTGGTGGTGATGATGGCAATGCTGTTGTCGTTGACGATGACGATTAAGATGCATATCTTGATGCTGTTGTCCATGACGATGTGGCCCTCACGATGATGATCACGATGCTGAGTACGACGGCGGTGAGTAGTATGAGGATGAATGTCATGGTAACCGCGATGTTGATGGTGATAAGACTTCTTATGACAGCACGTTCGATGCAATTGATGATGAGGGCGATGATGATGGTGACGACATTGATGATGCTGCTGATAATGATGATGCTGATGCTCAATCTGTTTATGATGCTGATGGTGGTGATGATGCTGATGGTGCTGATGATCATGGTGCTGAGCGCGATGATGACGCTGATGATGATGCTGAGGATGATGCTGATGATGATGATGCTGCTGCTGCTGATGATGATGATGATGATGATGTTGATGATGATGATGATGATGATGATGATGATGATCTTGAGATGATGATGCTGATGATGCTGCTGGCGATGGTACTGATGACATCGACGATGACGATGATGCTGTCGATGATACTTTGGGTGGTGGTGGTGTTGCTGATATCGATACTGATGCTGCTGATGATGATCTGGACGCCGATAGTGCAAGTGATGGTGATGCTTGCGATGCTGATGACCACAGTGGTATTTATTGCGATGGTGACGGCGATGGTGAGAATGACGTTGGTTGATGTTTGTGACCAGGGTTGTAATACCGAAAATGATGAGTCGGATGAGGAAGATGAGGAAGCGGTGGAGGAGGACGAGGATGAGGAAGAGGAGGATGGGACGAAAGAGGTGGAGGAGGAAGAGGAGTAGGAGGATGAGGAGGAGGAGGAGGAGCAGGAGCAAGAGCAGGAGCAGGAGTAGGAGAGGGAGTCCGAGGAATAGGAGATGGAGGAGGAGGAGGAGGAGG